AAACAAAAAAGCCCCACCAGCCGCAACTGCAGCAGCTGCTGCTGCAGAGGAAAATAAAAATAAAAATTTAAAAAAATCTCCTGGGATCGTCCCCTGGGATCGTTCTTACTCATCTGTGATTTTTTGAAAGGCGTCAGCAATGCGCACGGACTCTTTGACGTAAAAGTCTGCTGCTGCTGCTTCTGCTGCTGCTGCTGCTGCTGCTGGTGCTGCTGCTGGGGTCCCGGGGGGCCCCCCGGGGGCCCCCAGGGGCCTCAGGCCCAATACAGCTCTTTGGTGCTGCAGCCGCTGCATAATAATTGCTTCCTTTTGCTGCTGCGTCAGGTCCTCTGCGCGCATTGTTGCTGCTGCTGCTGCTGCTGCTGCTTGGTCCTCTCCCTGCTGCTGCTGCTGCTGCTTGCGTAGCCTGCGTGCTGCTGCTGCCTGCTGCAGCAGCAGCTTCTGCTTCAGCCGCTTTGCTGCTGCTCGCCTCGCCCTTCTTGCCTTAATAGTTCTGGTGGGGATCCACCACATTTTTTGCTTCCGCAGCAGCAGCCGCTGCTGCTGCTGCTGCTGCTGCTGCTGCTCCCTTTCTGCTGCAGCAGCAGCAACGGGGTCGTACGCAGCAAAACGATCCTCCTCAGCAGCAAAAGCTGCCATCGAGACTCGCAGCCGCTGCTGCAGCGCAGCAGCAGCAGCACGACGCCACTGCATGTGTCTCTCTCTGTCTCTTTTTCTTTTTTGCTTCTGCTGCTGATAGTCTGCTGCTGCAGCACAAGCAGCAGGCCGCAGCAGCGCCTGGCCCTCCACGAACTCAGCAGCAGAAGGCAAGCACAGCGACAGCAGCGAGGGCTCCTCGCCGTCGCTTCTGCTGCTGCTGCCGCTGCTGCTGCTGCTGCTGCTGCTGCTCTTTGGTGTCAGAAATGTGGAAAAGGAGAGGCGGTGAAGCTGCAGCAGCGAATGGACAGCAGACAAGGAGACACCTGCTGCTGCTGCTGCTGCTGCCAGAGACGCAGCTTCTTTTGCTGCAATCGGGTCGTAGTCAGCAGCGGCGCTCTCTGCTGCTGCTGCTGCTGCTGCGTCTTGCTGCTGCTCTGAGGGCACCTCAGTAGACTCCGACACCTGCTGCTGCTGCTGCTGCTGAGTAGCTTCCAGCTCTGTTTGGGGCTGTGCATTGCTGTTGTCGTTGCTGCTGCA